CCCCCTCCCCCAATTATTTGACAAAAATCCCTAAAAATTTTGCAGGTCCTTTGTCGCGGAGATCGAGCCCAGATAATATTATTAGAATCTCTGAGTGTTTTCATAAACCAAAAAAAAAAGCAAACTACTTGCGTGATGATCCATTCCCCTGTCATATAACGTCGAACAAGACTATCTGCATCCGAGGTAATAGTAGTAGAAGCTGATGACGTTGATGATCCTGCATCATTTTGTCGGAGTCTAGGAGGAAGTTTTAACTTGGAACTTAAACAAGATAAGATCTCAGTCCAGCATTCTTTAGCGTCTTGTTGTAAATATGATCGATTATCTCGTTGAGCAAATTGAGGAGCAACAGCTCGAAGCACCTATATCGTTATTGTTTTTTTTTTAATGCATTCAGTAAAATATTATAAATATAAATTTTCGTTGAAGAAAAAGCTTTTACCTGGATAAATTCAAAGGGATGATATGACTCAGTTGTTCTGTTTAATTGACGATAAAGATCGCGAAGAGATTCGGTAAGATTCCCTTGGAGATCTGCACCACTATCAGAATAGCTAAAAAAGTGATGAAGATGATGATAAAATCATATACATCGCCAAATTTTGAATTAAACAATTCTATAAAAAAACGATATAAAACCTCTCTAGCGACTCTTGCAATTCAGGAATGACCCGAAGACATTGCAATGTCGCGTTCATGTAACAGGTGTTTTCATGATTAATTAGACCAGATGGTAATTTAAGCTATAAAATAGAAAATTAATTAATGAATGCGCACATAAATGTGTTGGTGTGCTCAGAATAAAAGAGAGAAAGCACCGTTTCTGCCAATTGCTGGTCAGTCATTGTCTCGATAAACTGTGGTTTCGTTTCTGGCGCCTTGGGTAATTCTCCAGCAGTTCCCATCATCTGTGAAATAAAATAATTAAATCAAATAATGAGAGATTAACAAATATTAATGACTCTTTTTTCTCTTACCATTAATGATGCACCCTAAAAATATAAAATAAATTATCAGTTAATAGCATTTATTATCGATTCAATACTAAAGATACGGAAAAATACCCCTTTCAAATTAAGCGTATTAGGAATAGTATCGTCCTAAATGAAATTAAAGAAAAATCAAATCAAAATAAAAACATAGCATTATCTAAATTATTTATAACAGGTACATCATACCTTCAAAAGTCCACCTTTAAGGAAAAGCTTTTGCCTTTCTGGCTCAACCCCGGTAAGTGTATATAATTGAGTTTTAAGCAATAACACTGGTTCGTCAGTGTTCATATCAACGTCATACTTTTGTCCATTCCATTTTACAGACACTTTATAAATTAAAGAAAGAGCAGGAACAACGAAATAATTGATTCCATGAAAAGATAAAAGTTAGTCTGTTACATATTATATTTTATTTTCATTTTCATATATCTGAAATTCAGATGATAATACCTTTTATTACCGGCATTGTGCTTAAGAAAATAAATTAATTATCTCCCTGGAATTATCTGGGCTCGATCTCCGCGACAAAGGACCTGCAAAATTTTTAGGGATTTTTGTCAAATAATTGGGGGAGGGGG